TGGCCTCAAACTCATGGCAATCCTCCTATCTCAGCCTCCTGAGTGCTCAGATTACAGGTGTGTGCCACCACACACAGCTTGAACACTTATTTTATTTTGAGACAGGTTTTCACTATGTGAGAACTACAGTTTAGGCTGGCCTTGAACTTACTATGTAGCTCTGGTGGGCCTTGAACTGGCAGCAATCCTCCTGCCTCAGCCTCCCAAGTAATTGGAATTACAGGCATTTGCCACAACAGGCCTTTAATAATCCTCTTTTTTTTTTTTTTTTTTTTTGGTACTGGGAATTGAAGTCAGGACCTTGTGCTTGCCAGGTAGGCACTTGTGCCACTGAGCTATATTCCCGGCCAATAATCCTTGACTGGCACTTTTTTGGAGTTTTTTTGTTCATTTGTTTGTTTTTTGTGGGCTGGGGTGTTCTAGGCAACCACTCTAACCGTGAGCTATACCCAAATTTCCTTTCACTAGCAATTTCTGATAAAAGAAAAAGTATTTTCAAAGAACACAAACCTGACCAAGGAAAAAGTGGAAACTATATAGAGTTTATTTCATATGATGGCCTAAAAAAAATTCAATATTTTGGGGGCAAGGTGATTCATCACAACTGGCTCATTTACTCCAGAGCCTTGATTTTGTTTTCCATACATTCCTTTAGCAGTGACACAACAGAATCAAAGTCAAATACTTGGAATTTAATCCCATTCTTTCTTATAATGCTTCGCTAAAATGGAAATGTATTTTTAAAATATTTAAAATAACAATTTAATAGACGATACTTTTAGCCAAGCAATACTCTTTTTTTTTTCTGGTACCGGGAATTGAACTCAGGACCTTGCATTTGCCAGGCAAGTGCTTGTGCCGCTGAGCTCATATCCCCAGCCCTAGCCAAGCAACAAAACCAGAGAGACAAATATAGTAGATTATTTTGAAGGATTTTATTTATTTTTTTGCATAACAAGTTTATTTTTTGAAAGGCCTATAGACAAAACAAAGAAAACATTTAAGCAGATTTTAACTTCTGCCCTGGAAGTGTTCCATTAAGTTTCAGTTTCTAGGGGGCTGGGGATTTAGCTCAGTAGCAAAGCGCCTGCCTGGCAAGCACAAGGTCATGAGTTTAATTCCTGGTACTGGAAGAAAAAAAAAAGTTTCAGTCTCTAAGCATTTTTAGTTCAGTAATCCTCACCTTCATCAGAGTCCATTACTTTTCTTCTGTTGAATTTAACTGTTGTTTTCTTTTCTGTTTGTTGGCTTACTTTTTCAAGGATTTCTATTAAACCTTGTTCTGAGATCTTTCCACTTAGCTGTCTATATCTTGCCATCTGTATAAAGTAATTCTCTACTGCTTTTGTTTTTTCAGGTTTTACGAGTGCTAAGTTACTTAACCTGGCCCGGGCTGATCGATCCAGAACTTGGGCTAAGATACTGCTTCTCATTTCTGCTTCCCTGTGCTTTGCTTCCTGCTGTGCTGCATCATTTGGATCCCCGTGTTTCGCCTGCAGCTCGGCCAACCTCTGTTTCCTCAGCACCTCCAGCTCCTCATCCGCCATGGCACAACTGTTGCGCGGCAGCTTCTGAGGGATTTTAGATGTTATTATGTGCTGTACAAAAATCAATTTACACCCTAGAAGATTTCAGGAAATTCTTGGAAGTCCAATGTGGGGATATTTCTAAACTCAGTTGAACTTGTACATCATTTTGTTGTTGTTGTTGTTTTGTTTTGAGACAGGGTTTCACTATGCAGTTCAGGCTGGTCTTGCGTTCACTTTATAGCCCAGGCTGGCTGAACTTGTACATCTTTATAATGTCTGTATAGTCATATAACTACTCATAAAAATGGATCTGTGTCTTACTGTCCAGTGAAATCAAAATTGAAAGGCTGGGTGTGGTGGCTCATGCTTGTGATCCCAGCATTCCAGAGGCTGATGCAGGAGGACCTCCGTGAGTCTGCGGCCAGCCTGGGCTCCGTAAGCGAGTTCAAGGCCAGCCTGCACTACATAGCAAGACCCTGGCTCACAAAACAAGAATTTTAAACAGGCATGGTGGCACACCCTTGTAATCCCAGCTACTAAGGAGGCTGAGACAGGAAGATAGCAAGTTTGAGCCTAACCTGGGAAATTTAGCAAGACCCTATCTCAAAATAAAAAATAAAAGAGGGCTGGGACTATAGCTCAGTACAAAGACCCTGGGTTCAATCCCGAATACCACAGCGTAGAATATAGTAAAGTAAAATAAAATAAAATTGAATTTTAAATACTGCTGGGAAATCATCTGAAAACTGAAGTACTATTTACAGAAAAAAAAGCAAAATATCTTTCCTTTTTTGATGGTACCACAGATGTAGCTGTTCGTGAAGAAGAATATTAAATTATTAGAAATGTTCACATTAGGAATAATGTCAGAACAATGGAAGAACAATTTGCTGTCTGCTGAACAAAAAGAAAAGGTTGGGTATGTTCTTTTTATGTCATCATTAATAATTGGAAAAATGCTGCTGACATGAAAGTGCCCGCGGCTGGGGTGTGGTAACGGCGCACATGTGGGCGGCCTCAGAAACATCTCAATCTGTGTCTTGCCCAGAGCCTCATCTTAATTTTTTTTGCACTCTCCTTCCCTCAGCTGGTTAGCTAGGTTGGCTCTGCATCATCTTAATTGAAAATGCAAAAGTAAACCTGGCCAGGTGTGGTGGTCCAGGCCTGTGACCCCAGCACTCTGGGAGGTTGATGCAAAT